AGATTTTTGACTGTAGAGGAAGTAACAGTACATCCGTCTAGTTGCAAATTGTAATCCAAGAGATTCTGTGTACTGTCTCTTGGTCCAATATGTAATATCTCCGTCTTATCCTAATTTAATAGGAGAAATTATTGGTCATCCAATCTTTTACATTTTTAGCACACTCTATTAGCTTAGATAATTTAGAAGTTTCATCTGGTCTTGTTGAGATATATAGGATTTAATATTGAAAGTAGAAAAATTAGAAAACGGCTCCTTTTTTTCTTTTTTTTCTTCTTTTTTTCCCCAAAAAACGAGAATTCCGCTTAAATTTTCATTTTTTTGTTCATGGGTGGAAAAATGAATAAACAGCTTGAATATTTGATTTCTACACGTGGGCGGGAATTAAACGCCCCTTTCTGCTGATTGGTCAGCCGACAATATTAAATCAAAAAATGAATGATCGAATGATACACGGATTCCTATAAGTAATGCTGTTTGTTTTATTGGGATGTCAATAGCCTATATCATATGCTCACAGATTTGATTTGGGATTAAATAGGTTCCACAAACACTAAACTAGTCTATAGGACATCATATCATTATCATGAATATATTTATGAACTTTTAATTCACTTCAGAGATTTTAGGTTTTAAATGTAAATATTGTTTAATTTGTGCAAATATCTCTTTTGATGAATGTATGTGAGTATAGGGCTATTCTCTTGGTGAATATCAGAATGTAGCCTAGACAGTGACATATGATGTATAACAAATGTTTTAAATTTCATTCTATCTTTATTTACACGTCTTTTGGTCCCTCAGAGGGTTTCAATCACAGCAGTTGTGAGGCTCTTGAATATAAGCTGGTCCTTCACAGGGGCTTCAACTTGATATCTGGAATCCACTCTCCTGAGGTGGTGGATCAAATTCATAACTTTGAGATTCGAGACTCTGATGTCTTTGTCATTACTTACCCCAAATCAGGTAAGGGAGAACATAGCAGCCACATGGTACTACTGCTAGAAGTGCAATAGCCAAAGAGCATACAGAACCTTTATATGTAACATTTCTTCTGTTTTTGGCTGAGAAAATTGTACTGTTTACTCAACTATATTTGTGTTGCTATAATCTTTATCTCAGTCAGACACCTATTATCCAGTTTTCTATGGGAGTCTGCCTACCTTCACAAACATTAGATTTATACTGTAATCACAAAAAATGCATGCTTATTAAGTATGGCACAATTTAAAAATCTTCAGTGATCAGTAATATTAATAGATATCCTATGTGCAATTAATAAGTGAATTTGTAAACGTGTTCCTCCTTCTGTTGATTGTCTTGGCAGGCACTATTTGGTTGCAGCAAATCCTCAGTCTGATAGAGGTCAAGGGAGATGTTACAGCGACAAATGATCAGCTGAATTCTGAGCGTGTCCCATGGATTGAACTTTTAGACTCTGAGAAACAGTTTGTTTCTGCCCCTTCCCCTAGGATCCATGTGTCTCATCTACCATACAAATTCATGCCACTTGGATTGAAACAAAAGAAGGGCAAGGTGAGATCGCTTTTATCAAGGTGCCACTGCATCTGGCTTCAGTGAAATAATCAAGTCTTACCAATGGACTGAATAATTATGACCGCTGCTTTCTCTTGCAGTCTCCTTAAAATTCTTCAGTCTATTGCAAATGTTTACATGATCTCTTTACTCTTCTTAATGACTAATAGGTCATCTATGTGGCCAGAAATCCAAAGGATGTTTTGGTGTCTTACTTCCATTTTCACAAATTTGCAAATATGCTGGAGACCCCAAAAGACTTTGATACATTTTTTGAGAAATTCATGGAAGGAAATGGTAAACAAAATACCTTTTTTTTTAAATCTAAGTTGCAGTTTCTATCCAATCAACTGTTTGATCAACAATCCTTAACAAATATCATTTGTTTCAGTTTTTGGTAATTGCTGGTTTGAGCATGTCAAGAGCTGGTGCTCCCACAATGATGAGATGAACGTCTTGTACATTACATATGAGGAGATGATCAAGGTTTGACTGGTTTGCTTGTTTTACTGATAAATAAGATAAACTGCACTCTACTGTTTAAAAGTTTGGGATCGGTAAGATTTTTTGAAAGAAATACAATAATTCAGTGTTTCAATTAAATACTATTCCTTTGAACTTCCTATTTGGCGAAGATTCCTGAAAACGTATCACATGCGGTTTTCACAAAAATACTAAGCAGTTTATTTGTGAAAACTGTTTTGTTTGTTTGTAACTGATTATAAGAAATATTTCTGGAGCACCAAATCAGAGTATTAGAATGATTTCTGAAGGATCATGTGACACTGAAAACAGCTGCTGATGATTTAGAAGATTTCATCACAGGAATAAATTACATTTTATTAGAAAACATGTATTTTTAATTGTAATAATGTTTTTATTGTTTTATTATAGTCATGACATCAAAAATTGGCTGCACTGCACAAATTTATATTTTCCTCCGTATTTTTATCAAGTCTTGTATTCTAAGGAATTGAAAACTAAAACAAAAAAATATATATTTTTCTTGCCTAAAAATAAAATAAATTAAATTAAATGAAAATAAAAAAAAGACTTGAATGTTATGCTAGTTGCCAAAGCATCATTTATTTTCATTTGGTTTACCTTGATGTAATAAAATAACTAAAACTTAAGCTGAAATAATAAAAAAAAATTACATATAGACTATTATATAGACAAAAAACTAATGAAACTGACAAAACACAACAAAATTACTAAAACCTTAAATAAAATTAAAAGGAAAACATAATATATTCAAAATATTGATAAAAACAACAGTATTTCATTAATTGTTGTATTTTCAAACTTTAAAGTGTTGCTAATACAATTATGTTGATATTTACTATTAGAGAACATATTGACATAGTGTTTCTATTTGTTTATTCCTTACATTTTCTTTAATTTGTCTTGAAAAGCTCTGAATAAGTCTTACATTTACCATCATAAAACCCGCAGAAAACCTTACTTTTTTTTACTGTATTTTTGATCAAATAAATGCTGTTGGTCAAGAGACTTCTTTCAAAACCATTAAAAAACATTTTTTAACAAATCTTTAAACATTTGACCACAAACCTGTTCATTTCTTAACCTCAGAGTAGGAGGCTCAGTCCAGAATTGTTACTGTAACTTATCAACAGTGCATGCTTACAGGACTTGCAGTCAGTGGTTGAAAGGATCGCTTCGTTCTTGGGGAGGAACTTGACACCACAGCAGCTGAATGATGTTGTTGAGCACAGTACCTTCAAAAATATGAAGGACAATCCTCAGGCCAATTACCAGCAGGTCCCCATCATCCTGCTGAACCACCAGCAGGGAGCCTTTATGAGGAAAGGTATATAACATCTCGCTGTGCTTCAGTTCACTATCAGTAAACTATCCGAATCAAATTCTCGTGAAAATGAAGATTCTGTCGTCATTTACTCACCCTCATGCTGTTCTAAACCAGTCTGACGCAGTAGTTACTGACAGCCTTTTTTCCATACAATGAAAGTAAATGGTGGCTGCTAATTCAGATCTTTTGTGTTCTCAGAAGTAAGTTACAGGTGTTGGAAAACATGAGGGTGAGTTAATAATGACAGAATCTTCATTTCATAATCACAATGATTTTTACTCACAGTGAACGTAATAATTATACTTTATCTGTGTGTTCATTTTTGGGTTGATTATCTCTCTTAAGACTCCTACAAACCACAGTATCTTGAATGTGTTTCCACCCGTCTTATCATTCCTACAGTGAAATTATAGTTATATTTTGTAAGTCATTGAATACATGTAAGAATTACATCTGTTGTAAACATATCAATGATATGAAGATAAACTTTCAGAATAGTCACTAATCTCTTCCATTGAGTAATGTGAATGTTTTTAACCTGTTGAATTATTGACTAGATAACTAGATATATAACCTCACTGCTTAACAGGAACTGTTGGTGACTGGAAGAACTACTTCACGGTGGCACAGAATGAGAGATTTGACAAAGTGTACCAACAGAAGATGAAAGCTGTTCCTCTTTCATTCATCTGGGACATGAGTGATCTTGTCACACCATGATTTATTCAGTCTCATAATGTGTACTCAGCAGGGTTTGAAAACAGAAAAGTAAAAAAAAAAAATCCCTAACCCTTCTGAGCAGTAATATACAGTACAAACAAATATCTAATTTGTTTCCTGAATTGTATAAATTTAAAGTTCAAGGCAGCTTAAGACACAGATACGTGACAAAGCACTGCTGTCCTCTTCTGGAACACTGTTTTGCAATTACCATTTAAAAAGAAGAGTCTTTGTATCAAAATATTCAATTCTAAATCTGTTGCTTGTGCTTTTTGTTAGTGAAATAAACAGCTGTTTTGAGTCAAAAGCAAAATGAAATGAATCCCAAACATTTAAATATTGATACATATTATAAATTAAATGTTAATCAGAAACTGAAGTAAAATAATTAGATTTTCATCCGATTTCTGAGATTTCAAGAAGCATTGATTTTCATATGCTAAACCTTTTTGGTAAACTTTTATTTATTGGCGTTTACTGTATTTAGACAGACAGTGAATGATTGGAGTTAAACTCAGGTTGTAATACCAGCCAGGTCACATCTCTGGGAAACATCAGCCTAATGTAAATCTTGTGTAAATGAAGCCATTCAGCAGAATAAGAGAATGTTTTTTTTAATAGTAATAGTTAACAAATGACACTGGGTTTGACAGTTATTGTAAAATATGCTGCAACATAGATGGCAGTGACTGAAAAAGTTTGTGTTTAGAACCAGGTGAGCTGAAGTCCTGCTCCATGAGGCTGCTGGCATCTAAATCATTCATGTCAGGTTGGGAGTTAACACAATTCAGTCTTCATCACTGCCTAAGTCCAGTGGGTTGAAATCAGGGCCATCCTCCTCCAAGTCCAAATCATCCATGTCTTGAAACAGCGACTCGTCTACTTCTACACTATTCCCAACTAGAAAAAAAGCAGAGAAGACCAACTTTGAAGGAAAATCGAGTTTACGTTTCAAAAAGCAAATGGCATCCTATATAACGGATACACAACAATAATAATTGAGAGTGCTTACCGTCCTCCAAGAACTGGATATCTGATGTGTCAAGATTATGGTCTGTCTCAAAGAGCTGTTTTCCTGTAACATGAAAAAGTAAATAAACACAACATAAGAAAAGGTGGTTCAGATTTGGGTTTATATACTGCTTTTAATAAGTTTTCAACTCGCCTGTAAGTTTTCCCTTTCCTGACTGCTCCTCTTCTTTCTGCCTTTTATTCTTTAGTTCTGCCATTTCTTGTTCAAATCTTGCTTTCCATGATAAGAAGTTCTCAATTGTGACCACAGTGCCTTGGAATGCACGCTAAGAAAAACAACAAAAGAACAACATTTCATTTTAATATAAATGATAGCTATGTAACTAATAACAAATCTAATATTCAAAGCAACCTCATTCTGTAAAGTGTACAATAGCAACATCTGCGTACAGTTGGGTGGGTCTGTTTCAACCCAAGTGGTCAACCTTTTGTTAGTCTTCATGGCCCCCTTCTGGTAGAAGCTGTAATTACACCTTTAACACAATCATTGTTTGCCTTCACTGACGGCCTTTCAAAAGTCCTTGTTTATTGTGGCTAAACAAACTTTTGGTGTGTTGGTGTGACGTTTTTATCAGCTTTTTGAACTCCGATTCTGACGGCACCCATTCACATGGTGAGCAAGTGATGTAATGCTAAATTTCTCCAAATTTGTTCTGATGAAGAAACAACCTCATCTACATCTTGGATGGCCTGAGGTTGAGTAGATTTTCAGTAATCTTTCATTTTGGGGTGAACTATTCCTTTACATTCAGAAGACATGCTCAAAACAAACCTTCTCAGCTTCTTCGGCCTCCCTTTCATTTCTTAGTTTCTCTTCTTCTCTTCTGTTCTTAATCTGGTCAATTATTTCATTAAGTTTCTCCTGCACAGCTGTCACCAATGTGAATATCATAACCATTCCCAGGTTTTCTTCAGCCTACAAAAGAAAGAGGTTATTAGGCAGGACTAAAGGGCAGTAAAAAAAAAAATCCCCAACATCAGTATGTGCACTTTATCAATTGTTAATGTGTTTTTGCAGGGTAAGATGTCACGTGTGCAGACCTGTTGCTTTAAAAGTGTTAGAATGTCTTCTGTGTCTGAATCTTCCAGGTTCTCCTGTGAGAAGATCTCCCACAGAGGGGGTTCATCTGGATATTTCTCCGCATATGTAAACTTAAGAGTCACCTCCACCGCTACAACAGACAGAAATCAGTAATGTTGCTGCTTTGAGCTACACTTTAACCCTAAAAGTAAAGCCTACTTATGTATCATATTTGACACACAAATTTCTAGGGCCTCTCAATTATCAACATGATCTGAAAAAAAAAAAAAAAACTTGTACACAATCTTCTATTTGTCTTTTGTTCCCTGATTGATAGTTTACCCCATTTTTTAGCAAAGTAAAAGCTGTTTTAGTATTGTTGTAAAAATGTCCACCTTTTGTGGCATTTGTCAATCTGGCACTATATACAATCTGTGAAAACTGATTTTGTACCGAATTGCATTATACATTTTGCCCTCCACAATAAAAACTACAGAGCTTTGATCATAAAACTAAGAATTATCGGTTGATTTAGAGTGACAAGTGATATCTATATATGCATTTTATGTATGCAGTCTGTTGCAAAGAGTTTATTTAGTTACATTACAAAATAGCAGAATTTCATCTTACTTTCTGGCTGCAAAAATATCAGCAAGACAGCAACTGCACCAAATCACATATTTTTGCTCAGTTTTGGCAGTGTTTTTTTCCTCCTATAACAATGTATGAGTCATAAAAGCCTCATGTATCATATATGACAGTTCACAGGGTCAATTATAGTAAAACACACTGTTACATATGCCGTGCACTGACACAGTTAATAAAGCATATGAACTTACTCTCTTCATTTTCTCCCGCATCAGAAGTAACTGTGATGGTGAAGCTTGTGGGCTCCTCGGAAAGCACTGCGTGAATGAAAATATTGTAAGGAAAGAAACAAACAAACTAATGAAATATACAGAGCTCACTATTATTCATCACTTCCCACAGCCTGGAAGTAAACAGATATGGGTGACCAGACCACTGACCACAGACTAAACTTCTACTTCCACAGTTAATTCAAAGCAGCACGTAAACATAAATCTGACACAACTTCTGCTTGACATCTTATTGCAGGCCATCGGTTATTGTTTGATTTGTTTCTTAACTTTCGACAGCTTAATCTGCTGCTATGAAGAATGATATCAAAGAGATGACCGAGTCGCTCGTATGTTTAACTAACTTTGTTTGATGAAAAGCTAACGTTAGTCAGCTAACGGACAGCGTGGCGATTTTATAGGCATAAAACATAAACTTTGCTGTCAATCTTACCTGTAAACGAGTCTGGGTAAATGGACTCTATTGCTTCTAGTTCATTCCTTTGCTCCTCGCCGTAGTCTGTCATTTTATGTCACAAATGTCCATAGATTAGAGCCTGCATGGAAGAAACGTGTGCTAAGGCCCGGCTAGCAACGATGTTATCTGCGATCATCAGTAATGTCTGAGCTTGGTCTGGGAGGCGTGAGAAAGAGTAACACCTCGATTTTACTTGCTCTGCTAAATATTAGTACCATTGTAGTAATTCATGCTGTCACACTCTTGAATCCATTACAAAAAGGCTGTATTTAAAATAAACAATGTATAAAAATAAACGTGTGAAAAGGCTTGATTCTGGCATGGATTATATAGCCTGGCGATCCAGCCACTTTCAAACTGCCTTTCCACAATCAAAGCAAGTTTAATTTTTATGTACTATATGTGAATGAATACATGTAATTATATTAGGTTAAAATCCCAATTTACATAAATCAATTTATAATCTGTGTCTTTTATTACTTATTAATCTGTAGTTTTGTTTATCTATTTAGCTGCACAAACTCTTTCACATGATAAATTGGTTGAAGAGTAGATTTATTGATTGTGCATTTATTGATTATACAAGCAAGAACAAAAATCTAGGCCTTTCCTTATTCTTGATATGGTTTTGTGTACAGTTCTTTCTTATCAAGCCCTATGGTTGAAACAGCTTAGACCAGCTTAAATTCACTTAATACACGTTAGCTTTAGGAAGTAGCTACTGCCACAGGCTGTTATTGTTACAGTTAGATCAACTTGACCACTGCCATCATGGTAAGGCATGGAAGAGGCTAAGCTTACAAACGCACCTTATACTGTTATCCAGCAATATGTTTTAATTGGTAATTTACCAGCTGAACAAACTAGGCTGCCTTTTTCAGCAGGGTAGAAGAGGGTAAAATTTCTGTATTTTGTCAAAGCCTGAACAGTATTAGCATTCAGTACAAAATTGCAAAAACACAAAACATTATAGGATATATAAATAAACAGTTTAACAGATGGACTGTGTGTTTGGGGTTCCTATTAATATGAGTTGTCATTTATAGTTCAGTTTAGTGAATGATTTATTAATATTCTGGGTACAAAGTCAAATCCACAAATGTAAATGATCTGTAACAGTTTTGTTAGTACAACTTATATTTAGTTTTTTTTTTTCCCCATTGTTATTGCCTGTGCCTTTGCTTTTAAAGGAAAGGAACTTGAGCCAGAACTCAAACTCAGGTCAGCCGCTATATCTCATAGCTTTGTACACAAGGGCAAGGCTGTGGCTCTGACTCAGTTTTAATATCATTATAGTTATTAGGCTACATTTTGTTACTTCTAAGCAATATTTTTACACACTTAACTTTAACGTTAAACAGCCTTACATTGAATAACACAGTTTAATATAAATTAATATTGTTGTTATTTTTTTTCACTGACTATTAACCTGTGTATATTTACTTTTCTTTCACAACAGTGCAGGAAATGCTATACAGAGCTGATCCGTGGGTCAAAACTACTGAAGAAATGAGTGAAGTGACATGTGGCCAAGTATGGTGACACATACTTGGAATTAGTGCTCTGCATTTAACCCATTCAAAGTGCACACACACAGCAGTGAACACCGTGAACACACCCGGAGCAGTGGGCAGCCATTTTTGCTGCGGCGCCTGGGGAGCAGTTGGGGGCTCGGTGCCTTGCTCAAGGGCACCTCAGTCGTGGTATTGAAGGTAGGAGAGAGCGCTGTACATTCACTCCCCCCACTTACAAACCCTGCCGGTACGAGACTCGAACCCGCAACCAATCCTGTTTGTCAAATCTGCTTAAAACCAGCAAAGGAAATAAGCATTGCGGTTTATATGTTTTATATTTTGTTGGTTAACATAAGTGCAATGCGACCTTATTGTAGATTTGAATCAGTGTTGGACAGTTACTTATCAGTACCAAAATCTTTTGAGGTTATCATGCATAAACGTGCATCAAACACACTACCTGTTTTATAAGGATATGGTGAAAAAGATTTTAAAATATAGAGAGGAATAAGAGAGCTATACAGATTCAAAGAGTGCACAAGGCCTACATGACAAATGCCCTGAGAAGTGTTTTTTCTTCCTTTTTTGACTTTGTAAAACCTGAAATGCAACATTCAAGCAGTATGCAAATTTAGGGCCTGAGATCTGTGTTGGTTCACTGATACAGAAGTATAAAACTGAACAAAGTATTTGCAGGTTAAATAGTGCCACAACCACTTCCTCGATAGACAAAACAAAATTCCCAAAAACTGTCATTACAACACTTTCAGTACAGGTTGTAGCTACAAAAAAAATAATAATAATAATAATTCCGTCTTGATTCACAGTGGCTTTTTGTCTTCAAGGCCATATTCTGAGCTCTACTTTTTCTAATTACCAGTCCATGCAGTGTTCTATGTCATCTCTATGCCATCTTGCCCCTCTAGAACAGGACGCTTCTCAGGGCTGTAGTCCCGATCTGCACGCTCCACATATCTCTGCAGTGTGCTGTAGTACTGTTCACTTTGCTTAAAAGTGTATATAGTAGAGATCTCCTCCCAGGCCTTGTGATTTGGAAAGGGAAATGGTTCGGGACTTTTGTTGTCAAAGAAACTCTTGAGGTTTCTCTCTGCCAGTTTGGTGGCATAATCATCTGCAAACATCTCAAACTTTTCCTTTTCCTTCTCCATGTAGATCTTCTGGAAAGTTAACTGAAGGTAGCTTACTTGAGAGCGACAGTTCTTAAAGCAAGTTCCAATTAGGGCTACTGTTGCCGATATGATAATGATGGACCAGCCGAGGATCTGCAAACATAGATAAATCAGTTGAATGTTATAAGATAGAATAATTTTAAGTTATTATAGCAAATTATTATTATCGAAATTTAGCATGCAAAAAGATAAATTGTATTTGTGAATATAAAATACTTTTAAACAGCTTTCTGTTGGTCATCGCAGTAAATTGTGTGACCAGTTTGAACCTTTTGTGAAATTTGTCGGGGGAAATCTTTTGCCCTCAAGATACGGTCATATTCACCTTGCTCGGCTAAATTTTGCATGCAAAATCCAGTCATTCCAATAGGAATCCACACAATCAGGAATTTTGCATGAGGAGAAAAGGTTCCCCGTGCAGATTTAGCTTATGTTCAAGTTGGTCATGCCGTGCCGTGCTGACCAACAGAAAGCTGCTTGATTTAAAGGGGTCATATGATGCTTTTTTAAAGATCATTATTTTGTGTATTTGGTGTAACAGAATATGTTGACATGCTTTAATGTTCAAAAAACACATTATTTTTCAAATACTGTACATTATTGTAGGTCCTATATGCCCCGCCTCTCTCAAACGCTGTCAATAGCAAATACTTAAACTAATAACAAAACAGTAACAGTTAGCAGATTCAGAAGCGCCAGATTGTCATAGCAACGTCAGAATTACCTCCTCTCCTAGGTTCACGAAATGGTTGTCCATAAAATGCATTGCTGTTCTGTTGTAAGTAATCTTAAAGATTCCTAAATGCATCTACTTTCTGAAGGCCTAATAATGTGCTTTTGCTTTCGCCTAGAAACACACAGCGTCTCCCTGACATGGCTGCTTCAACACTAACTGCGGTTACTGAAACCATGCCTTCTTTCTTTGCATGCACATTTGGGCCGCATTATGCAAATATTTCCACATAGTGAGGTAGATATGTGGGGGCGTGTTAGAACGAGCCGTTTTAGGGGGGCATGGCAGAGTCTTAACTTTGATAAAGAATATTTCTTTGGTTTTGAGACTTTAGTCTTTGCAACTTCAGGGATCTTATCTATGCACAATCAGCTTGTAACACTCCAAAGAGAAAGGAAAACTTGAAATCGCATCATATGACCCCTTTAAAAGTGACTTAAGTGTGAGCTGTGCTTCATTCATCTTCACGCTAAAGACAATAAACTTTAATCATGTTAGATATCATTTGAAATTTAACGTGGATGAAAACAAGGCTTTGAGGATATACTGTTTTTACAATGGTATGCACTGTATAAAGGTCCTAGATTTTGTAATTCTCAGTTAGAACTTTCAAAACTGTTTTTTTTTCCTCTGAAAGACATTCCTTATTTGCACAATCATTACATTGTTAAACACCTGTACAGTCAATTGAGCCCTAGTGTAATTCTTTCCCTCCCAGCTGTTCCTATCAATATGGCGCTACCCTGACTATGGTCTATTGGCCTGATTTTTTTCCTAAAGCAGTTTCGTTGGTCATATCAATCACAGTGATGAATGCCTACACCAAACACTAACTCCTAACCCTACCCCCTCACCCTAACCCTAACCAATGAAATTAGCTGCTGGGTGGGATTTTTTGCTTGCGAAATTTCACTAAAATGTATCTGTGATTGCCTCTTCATGCAACATTCCCAATCACATGGACTGCATTTCGCCATTGAAAATTTGCCGAACAGGGTGACCGCATCTTTAAAGCTTCTGCTAAGAAAAAATGATTCCACTAAAACGAACAAAAAAAAAAATGTACCTAGCAACATGACGAACATTGCAACAACATTACAGTAATTAAATCATCTCGGGTCATTTTCATAACAACACAAGATGGCGACAGTTGCGATTGACCCAAGAGTGCAAGTCTGCGGTGTGTTACGAAAAATCGCGTGCCCAATGAATGGACTGATATACAGTTACGAAATATCAGTCTGCTGAGTACTGTGATAGACCAATTTTAATGAAGTATTCTAGAAAAGAAAAAAAAAATATATATATATCTATATATATACTGTATATGTATAAGAATTTTATTTATTTTTTTACATTAACAGTCTGTGCTCACCTGTGACTGGGCTCGTAACATCAACAGCAGTTCCATATTTTCATTCGGAGGCAGCTGGGACTTGCTGCAGGGCACTCTGGGGAGCTCGTCCTGGCATGTACGTGTCTTGTTTTTGCAGAAAATTTGCACCACCACATTTTCATCCAGGCCACTAACAGCACACTCATAAAAAGTTCCATTTAACAGTGCTACACTAAGCCACATGACAGGGGCAATGCAGGCTCCAGATAGCACTTTTACAAACACCTGCAAACATCCCATAAAGTTACCCCTGGGGCAGAGTTTGAGAGGGTTGAGACAACACCCAGTATATAACCGCCAAAGACGTGTACTAACAAAGAGTCCAATCGCCAGCAAGACAACAGCAGGGCCGATCAGAAAAGTTAATCCATATGCAAAATTCTGTCTACGGTTGCACGGACACTGGAAAGACACCATGGAGAAAATTCGTTCACTACCTATTGTCAAAATAGCCATGAAGCTGTAACCAATAGTGGTCTTCTGATTGGTAAGGAATTTTAGGATAGTCTTAAACGAATCCATAGCTGGTACAGACATGGCTGCAACACTCCAAATAAGCTGCTGAACTGAAAGAGATGATTTCTGCTATGGCACTCCCTTTTCTCGCTCTCTTATTTTCACTTTGTTTTCCACACTTCCTTTATCTCCTCCTTTTCTGTCTCTGGCTTCCCCACAGCTCATCAAATCCCTCCCCTGTCCATCCTTTCCCCCCTCCCATTCAGTAAAGGGCTGTGACCAAAACCAACCCATCAGGTTCTGCCAGAAGTCACAACAGACTACAGACATTTACACATCATGCAACAGCAGTCAAACAAATAAAATCCCAACAATGCAATTGTCAGCCGAGCTTTGTAACTGACAATGTGCTTTTCATTATTGGAATGCCAGAATCTGGAGGTTGCTAGCAATGGAATTTGGAAATCTAGAAGCTGGAACAGCAGATTAGCGCATGTTAGGTCAAACAAAGAGGTGTATTGCAACATAATGCTTTACATTAGTTAAAAAGGAAGTGATTCATTCTGGTTCTGTATGAGGAGACAGTTTCTGTTCTGCTCTAGTGTCCACTGTTGTGCCCTGCACTTCTACCATAAAGATTTAACCGTAACGCTAACCGCAAATGGTAGAACTTAATGAATATTGATTTTTTTGAGTGAGCTTTTAGCAGTGTAATTTTCAAATTATACATGATTACTTCATGAAAAAAGCATAAAAGTGCTGCCTGTTGAAATATGAGATCACTAATCATCATGTGCATGATGCAGGATGAAGTGACACCAAAGGTCTAGCATATAATGTAACTCTTTGTTTGTACAGTCCTTTAGAAATGGTCAGGGCACAGCTGTTCAAATACTAATGAATGAGGAAAACAACTGACACTTATGAAAAATTCTACTTGCCATAAGCAAAGTTTTTTATTGTTCATATAAAAAATATATTGAAAGACAAAATTCTAATTAAACAACAAAACCCCAGTAATGTTAAAATCATACAATTGTAGTATTCAAAAGAAAAGCTAAAATAGCAATACAAGAAGAACAGTGAACTGACACTGTAAAAGGCACAGAAAATAAAGAAGCAAGTACAGCTCTGTTTATGCATAATAACAGGGTAAAGCATGAAAAGCTGCGACAGCGCTAGACAGCGCCTACAGTACCAGTTTGCCTTCATCCACAAATGCAAGTGCTGCTGGGTTTGAAAAATCATTTTCAGATCTCACCGAAGGCCTTACTACCGGATTTTCAAGGTCCTCACAAGTGCACACATGCTTGTGCAGGATGCTGTAGTATTGGTCCATGCTTCGGAACTTGTAAAAAGAGGATATCTTCTCCCAGGCCTGTCTGGGTGGACTCTTCATAGGAATGGGTTTGGTTAAATCAAAGAAACTTGATATGTTTCTCTTTGCAAGCTTTTCGGCATGCTGAGCTGTATAGTTGTCCAAAAACTCACTCTCCTTCTGAGTGTACATCCTCCAAAACTTTAGCTGCATGTAACTGATTGGAGAATAGCATCTGGCTGTGCATGTGAGCAGAAAGGTGAACGTCATCACAGAACCTATCAGGATCCAACCAAGTACCTAGAAGTATTTTCCAGAATTATTCAAATATTAAGAGACATATTTGTTGAAAAATAAAACTGAGATGTTAAAGCACATGACTGTAGAGGACCTTATGACGAGGTTAGGACATTTAGGCTTCTGCCTGAAAATGCCACTCCTAAGAAATTTGCCTTTGTTTTTCTGAAAATGTAAATGAGAAAATTTCCTTTATTAATGCATTTAAAAATATTTATTCTGGTAGACCTAAAGATTTTTGTCTATGACTATGAATAATGGACTACAAGTTAGTCAGAGTGATCTAAAGTCTGCAAACCCAGCTAACAGGAAACGTTATCAGAATTTTGGCAACGTTCTTTCAAACTTATGAACAGTCATTATTCCAGTAATGTTAATAGAACGTTTGTTCAACGTTATCTGGTCTTTAATGATGTTCTCAAAACGTTATTTATACATGGTTCATGGAATGCTTTTTTCTAAAACGTTTTAACTTTTGATAAAATGGATAAAATGCATTTAACCTAAATAACGTTTTAAAATATTTTAAAAACGGGTTATTTCGAATGTTCAGAGAACATTAAGAATGAATGTTTTCATAACTTAATGGAAACGTTGGAAAAACGTTCTTAGAACATTGTTGTTAGCATTCCTTGATTTTCCTGAGGCTCCAGCGATTTAAATCAGCGTTAGTACATTGAAGAAACACAACTATTTCCATTATTTATAATTAAATTACAGATTTAGCCACGCATCACAAATACATTACAAAAACGGTTTTAAAATGTCTTTAAATAATCTCAATGTATTGTACCCCGACAATGTCTGACAAAAATTCCTCTCAAAAGTCGAACCCCAATTAAATTTACAGGCCTACTGAGTCCAAGTCAGGTCACAAGTAAAACTGCTCATGTCTGTCCGAGTCTTAGATTTGAGAATTGAGATCCAAGTGAAATATTTTTTTTTTCTCTCTCTCTCGGACAAAAACAATAATCATGCCATGTGAGCTCACCTGCGACTCTGCGCGTATGATGGACAGCACAGCCACTCTCTCACTCTGCGGAATTGCGGTTCCATCACAAGGGAACTTCTCCAACTCTGTCCGACAGTGAGGAAACTTTTCGTTGCAAAGGTTACGTCTAAAAAGTGTAATGTTGGCGCCAGTCATTGAGCACTCGAAATACACCCCTCTGAGTAGAGCAACTGCAGTCGTGGTGATTTGAAGAAAAACACACAAAAAGCCAATCGCGTAATTAAAACGAAATAGCTTCGATTTCCTAAGGCACAGACCCGTGAACAATTTCCATGTTTTATTGCTCAACATGTAACTTGAGATGAGCAGTGCAAGCGCGGGTACGAGGAGGCAGACGTTGCCATAAACGAAATTCCAATCATTGCAAGGACACTTTAGAAGACGTGCTCGCTACCAGCAGTTATAAGAGCGATCAATCCGAATCCTAAATTGGTCTGCTGTTTCTGAGTGAAGCTAAGCAAAGATTTTAACTTATCCATGCCTGCCAGCTGACGACCGTAAGCTCTCTGTTCTTAAACAATAAACCATGAAATGACACTCTCAGTTCCGTTATGAGACACTACTGAGTGTCACCTTCAAGCGTGCGCACAATAAAAGCATACAAAGAGTTGGACTTAATTTAAGAAAAACTGGTTAATGTTAGCTTTTCAGCTGTAATGGGAAACTGACTTTATGAAAAATGAAGAAACTAAAAACACAATGTAAGTGTTAAGCCTACACACTAGTTTAGTTTAAAGGCATTGCAAGCGAATGTGGCACAGTATGCAAAACACTTCATGCTTTCAATGACGTGTGATGTGGCAATCTGCATATGTGACCCTGGACCACAAAAGCAGTCATAAGGGTCAATTTTTTGAAATTGAGATTTACATCAAAGCTGAATAAATAAGCGTTCCATTGATGTATGGTTTGTTAGGATAGGACAATATTTGGCTGAGATACAACAAGGGTGCAAAAAAATCGCCTATTAGGATAGGACAATATTTGGCTGTGATACAACAAGGGAGCAAAAAAATTGCCTTTAAAGCTGTCTGTTTTAATTTTAATTCATTTTAAAAGTGTTATTTCTGGATAAAAAGTATAAATGAATAACATCTTAAAACTGAATGAAACTTAAAATTAGCCACAATTTTTATGCAATAAAATATTTTAAGATTTTAAGATTTTTAATCTTAATAATTTAAATTAGGGTGTTTCATGTGGCTTTTTAATTAAAGGGGTCATATGATGTTGCTAAAAAGAACAGTATTTTGTGTATTTGGTGTAATGAACTGTGTTTATGCGGTTTAAGGTTCAAAAAACACATTATTTTCCACATACTGTACATTATTGTTTCTCCTCTATGCCCCACCTTCTGAAACGCGTCGATTTTTACAAAGTTCATCGTTCTAAAAAAGCGAGGTGTGCTCTGATTGGCCAGCTATCCAGTGCGTTGTGATTGGCCGAATACCTCAAGCGTGTGACGGAGATGTTACGCCCTTTACCATATTGTGATGATGCCCTGTCAGGCCGGAGCGATGATTCAAAAACATGAAAACCCATTATAAACGAGGCATTCGTTGCATCCAGTGGGGACATAATTATGGATTATAATGACTTATACTGTCTTTTTACACGTTGCGTTAAAGCCGATCCGGCGATCGACAGCGCAAAGTTGTAGTAGTTCCTCAGCAACCAGCACTGATCAGCTCCAGGCATGATACTACAGTGAGAATAAAAGTTACGCCTTCTTTCTTTGCGTGAACATTTTGGCGGCGTTATGCAAATCTTCCCACATAGCGACGTAGATATGTGGGGGCGTGTTAGAACGAGCCGTTTTAGGTAGGTGTGGCTGACTCTTAACTTTTATAAAGAATATCTCTTTGGATTTGAGACTTTAGTCTTTGCAACTTTACAGATCTTCTTTATGCACCAAGAGCTTGTAATACTCCAAAGAGAAAGGAAAAACTGAAATCGCATCATATGACCCCTTTAAAACCTATATATTTTACAAATAATTGTAGGCTACATTTTTTTTAATTTGTAGGTCTATTTATTCACTAATTATGTTATAAAACAACATGTCATATACCAATATATACTTCACTCAAAACCAATAAGAAAATCTCACAATGTTTTTGCTGGTTTACACTTTATATTCGGCGCTTCGTGGACACACATGATCCCGTGCATGTGACCGCAAGAGGCGGGGACTGATTAAGACTTGCATTTACAGTAGCTCAGATGCATCGGGCATAGACGTGACGAGTTACATCCCCAGTCTCTGAACAGTTTTTTCTCCTGGGGGTCGATGCAGATATTTTGTTTGGGTCAGTCAAAGTTGCCAAGTGACCCGACGTCAGATAAAATCGGTTCGACCGAGAGAAGAGGACACTGGACGCGAAGGTACACTTCATGCGTGCGCTTTTTAGCCCGGTGTATGTTTGTATTTTTACCCTGTATATTTTCTAACCTATAGAAGCGTTTAGACAGTGTTTACGGATGGATGCTGAATGGATGTAACGTTGACGAAACACTTCACAGATGAATGTCATGAGGTTGCAGCTGGGCGGGTCTTCAGTGAGGATTACATTTATTGCCCAAATATTCTTGCCTGGTTCTGCTCTGTTGCTAGGAGACCTTTGACAGTTGAGGTTTAAAAGTGATTGTGAAGGCGACCTATCACTCTAATCTGCATTTAGTGACAGGGTTGCGTAATTAACTTGTCAAAATAATACCAATAATGGACAATATAACATCCGCCTACAGGTTATTATTATTATTTTTTAGCAATATAACCTGCACTTTGATTTTAACGCGACGGTATCTGACTTAAACATTCAGCCACCTCTACTTTGATGGATTAAGGGTGTATTCTGGTTAAGTAGGTCAGTGACAGGCTAAAGATGATACATGGGACCATTTGAGTGACACACCAAAGCTATTGAGAAAATATATATCATACTGTATCATGGACATTAGTTTTACGGCTCGTATGTCTTTCCTTTTCCCTCTTCTTTTCTCCTCCATCGACTGTGGACTACAGTCTGCTGGCTGAAAGTCATTTTGTAATCAGATCAATATCTGCTGGGATGCCTCAGACATGATGGGCCATTAGGCTCCAAAGAGTCCTGCATGAAATCGCCTACTCTCTGCCTTGAAACCATTTGACCATCACATGTGGCTTTATGAGAGGAGCGTCACAGACTGATTTTGGATCAGAATGAACTTTGCCTCTAGCTGTTTTGTATCCAAACACATTGTGCATCAGTAGGGTGAGTGGTGTTTTTATTATGTTTCTTCTAATTTGTTGTGCTTTGGATGAGCATTACTGCATGAGTGAATCTATCAAAAATATGTCTGCCTGGTCATATTTTCACTCCTTTGCTTTTCATACAGAAAATTAAAGGGATAGTTCACCCAAAAATGAAAATTCTGTCATTAATTACTCATCCTCATGTCGTTCCAAACCTGTGAGACCTTCGTTCATCTTCGGAACACAAATTAAGATATTTTTGATGAAATGTGAGAGCTCTCAGACCCTGCATAGACAGCGACGCAACTGTAATGTTCCCAGGTCCAGTGTGCAATTGTCATCCTGTCTGATCACACAATGATTTTATTTTATTGATTTTTTTATTTTATTTTTCAAATTGTATTAGTATTATTTTTATCAGCTTAAAGCTAGTGCAACAAGTGCTATCATAAAGTATAAATACAATTTAAATATTATCTAATAATTTTAGTTTAAGAATTGTGGGAGGAAATTTGCTTAGTTGTAATAAAAATCTTAATAGTATGTGATATGCAGATATTTTACTCCGTTTTGCAGAAGCAAATCATTTAAATCTTTAAAAGCTCTTCATCTCAGTAGCTCCACTGAGATGCTCAGATATTCAGGCTATCAGAGGCTTCTCAGATATGTAAGCTGTGTCCTTATTCACTCTCAGTCTTAGCTGTTTCTGTTTCACTATAGAGTGCTGCACATGCTCAGTCGGGCCTGTCTGGTGTTTTGTAGTATCAGCAGGAAGCAGTCCTTCCTCCTCCTCCTCTCTTCTCCAGGAGCATGCCCTCTGAGCCTCCTCCCAGGTACGTTCTGCAAACCTCAGTCTACCTTGAGAGGTGACTGTGTCCTTAGTGCTTTGGTGAGTTTTAATTTGATGTAGACACCGTTGGATTTGATGGGAGGTGTTGTGACATGGTCAGCTTTATTTAAAGAGCTCTGGAGGATGTCTGAGGTCATCTGAAGCTTTTATCTCCCAAGGCAGTATTACTTCGTGTTAACTAATACTGTAAAACAGTTTTTGTTAAATTTACTACAGTGATGATATAACGGACATTGCGGAGGCATTTTGGTGACTATATTCTACAATTCCTATCTATACATATAAGATTAACATGATAAAAGATTAAAATTAACCAGTATTAAAATCAAAATATAGTGAAAATAGCACTTATAGTTAGTTACAATGGAGAGCAACATGATGACTTCAGCAGTGCCCTCCACCCCCACCCCAGCAGCTGTTGTCAATAATAACATAGAAGGAACACAGTGTCACCCGCATATGCCATCAGGGTAAATCATGTATATGTCATGTAGCATTTAGCACTCCAATGTGCATAACTAACAAAAAATACCAACAAATGTGTTGGTTTATTCAGCAACTTTTGGTAATGCCCATATCCATATTAATTCAAAGAAGGTTCATACTTTTTACTTATAATAATATAATTTTATTGTAAAAGTGTAAATATTGCCTTGCTAAAGTATTATAAATATAATCTTGCTTGCAATTAATTTGTTTTTAAAACAAATGTATATAATTTAAACTTAAAAATTGTTAGATTAATTTCATTTATATTTATCTTTAAATATTTACAGTAAAACTACATGTACTACAACAAAATATAAACAAGCAAATTTACTATATTCTTGATGCATTCTTTTTGTTAAATAAAAATTTTTTTCCCAGTGTACAGACAGAGAATGAGAGCTAAATCTGAATGTGTTGAACTGAAAAGAGCTATTCAGGGCCTCAGGAGCAGTAAGAATCAATGACATCTCACTTACTGAATAGATATTGATAGACCTAGTGTTCAGCAGCAGGAAGAAAGACACATACGCACACATGCACACTTCATTGTTTCTGGCCACAGGATTCCATGATGAGATGTTCACAATTTCCAAGCATAGGCTTGTCTTGCAGCATTGTTCTTGTGTCTCAGCTCTCAGGACATGCTGACAGGACAGAGGCTGTGTCAGTCCAAATCCCACCAGGACTCTGTCCTCTCTGCCCTTAATCAGCAGCGCAACGACGGACTGCTCTGCGATGTCACCCTGGTCGCCGGGGAGCAGAAGTTCCATGCTCACAAGGCAGTCCTGGCAGCCTGCAGTGATTACTTCCGGGTAAGATTTTACACTCTATAGATTCCATCTCATGAAACATGATCAATGAGAGTGTCTGCCACACAAGTTTCTTTAGGTTTCTATGATCTGTATAAAGCTACACTTCTGCTGGCATCTATTAAGAGTATAGTTCTCCCAAAAATATATATTTTTTGCTGTCATGTCGTTCCATATCTATGGTAGCCCATTTCCACCAGATAGGAAATAAATAATTGGTACATGGTACATGTATACATCATAATTATGACATAAAAATAGTCAGAATTATGACGTACTAAGCCATAATAAAATTTTTTTTTAGATTTATCTTTAGATTTGATCTTTTATCTTTGGTTTTCTTATTATTTTTGCCTTTATAATGATACAACAGTGGAGAGCAGTCAGGAAGCAAACAATCTAACAATCTAATCTGACAATCTAAATTATGAACAATAAGAGATTATGAGATATGAAGTCATAGTTGTGACATACAAAAAACAACAAAAATAACTAATTCAAAATGATTAGATAAGGGTCAATTGTTATAAAAGTCTAACTTTTATGTCATAATTATGGCTTAAGTCATAACTTTTAATATTAATCTTAATCTATTTATGAGTTATTATCTCATAATTCCAACGCTTGATGTCATAATTATGACTTTAGAATTATGATTTACCAATGTATCACCAGAAAAAGGCCTCCATCAATATCCTTTTTTTTGGGAACAGAAAGGGAGATGTTTGGCAGAATGTTCACGCTGCTCTTTTCAATACAATAAATGCGAATGGGGACGAGTGCTGCTGAGTTCCAAAAATGAAAAAAGCACCATAAACGTACCACTAAAGTTGCCATTCAACTTGAGTGCAAAATTCCAAATCTTCTGAAATCATCCAAAGCTATGTACGAGAAAAAGAGAAATGTAAGATGTATAAGTCATTATATATTAAAAGTAACGTGTACATACATTCAAATGTTTAACATACTGTTAAACATCTTCTTTAGTCCCTCACACAAGTCATTCGAGTTTGGAACAACATGATAGTGAGTAAACAATGACAGGATGTTCCTTTTTAGCAGTGCAATCCTGATTCAAATATGTACAGTTCCAGTGGCGGGCCATGCATTTTACACCTAGGCCTTCAGTGGCGTCCTACATTAATTAATCCATCTCTTCATACCATCATAATGATGCCACGGCTATAGAAACCATAAATATTACACAGTAATGCAGTATAACAGGGCACTACATAACAGACAGGTATCTTATGTAGCGAAAATGAATGCCATTACTAAAGAAAGAAACCCAATTAACAATCGCGCAACACATCATCTGTAGCTGAAGCATTAACCTAACAAAATGACACAAATACAGTCCATCCGATGTTCTTACAGACATTTATTCACCCAAACGCATTTATACCTTACAGATAGCATTGGTATAAAACAAATAAGGTGATTACATGTGTTTTAAAGTTGACCTAACAATTTAATGTTCTCTTACCGATTTATTTCGTCTTCATGAGTCTCCCCGCCGGTCTGCCAGCGCACTGCGGGAGGAAAATACTGGTTAGCACAGCTTTACTAGGAAAGTGAGCAAGTAACATTAAAATAATTCATACAAGACGATGAAGAAAAGTGTATACATGTGTTTTAACGTACCTCTGAGACTCTCATCTCCCCACTGGTCTGCCTCTGCCAGCGGCGCTGCGGCCGGAGGAAAAGACCGGTTAATACAGCTCCACTCGGGAAACAGATACTCTTACGGAAACTTAAACCTGGCTTTATATCGCGCAAATAACATCAGCATACAACACATCAAGCGATAAAAGAGTCAAAAATGAAAATTAACCTACCATACTCTAGTGGTTTTTCATCTTCACGAGTCTTTCACAGAGCCGGTGCCGAGGAGGTGTGTGGTTGTTTTTCGCAGTCATTAGGACTACTGTTTTTAGATTTACTAAATATAGTAGGCAAATATTGTTTTTTCAAAATGCACTGAAAATCTAAACCTGAGAAACAGAAATAAAAGTTTTACTAAGTTTTAATAAAATGATTTACAGTGGTGCTGTTTGCTAGCTAGTATGCTGACCATCCAATCAAAGGACGAGAAAATGCTGATGTTATCGTTAGCCAGCTAGATGGCCCTGGTGCTGCCAACTCGAAATCTGATTGGTTAAAGCAACGGTTTCATTGCCATTGATTTAAGCTAACAGACGCCTGCACTGTTGATTCTGAAGGCCTTAAGGCAGATTTCTTTGACCCTGGCAACACGATTGCTGAAATATGATTGGATAAAAGCTCTAATATAAAGGTGTGTGGTTGTTTTTCGCAGTCATTAGGACTACTGTTTTTAGATTTACTAAATATAGTAGGCCACTTATTTTTTCAAAATGCACTGAAAATCTAAACCTGAGAAACAGTAATAAAAGTTTTACTAAGTTTTAATAAAATGATTTACAGTGATGCTGTTTGCTAGCTAGTATGCTGACCATCCAATCAAAGGACGAGAAAATGCTGAGTTATCATTAGCCAGCTAGATGGCCCTGGTGTTGCCAACTCGAAATCTGATTGGTTAAAGCAACGGTTTCATTGCCATTGAGTTAAGCTAACAGACGCCTGCACTGTGGATTCTGAAGGCCTTAAGGCAGATTTCTTTGACCCTGGCAACACGATTGCTGAAATATGATTGGATAAAAGCTCTAATATAAACGTACACTGCTGGAAGCAGTGCAACCAAGAGAAAAGCTGTGAACTGAAGAGAATAGACTATTGGAAATAATTTAATACACATTCATGGAAAAATATATTAAAACTAAATCAGTGATTCTGATAGTGTTTAGGCCAGCAGAGAAGGCTTTGCTGGCCCTGACGGCCCACCACTGTACAGTTCACATAGAAGGCAAGACAGGAAATAAAAAGTCGGCAGCGGCCTGAAAACCATAACAGTGAGATTTGATTTTGGTTTGTTCAGAAGATTACAAAGAAGAAATACGTCCAGCTTTGCGACAGAGAGAAAGATTATCTGCACAGTTCAAAGAACAGAATTAAATAGGGCAGGTATATTTATCTCTATATGTCTCCTGGGAAGCTCTCCACCTCTGTTGGGCTAGAATGATAAGATTTTATCCCTCTGTTTTTGATTTTAGCCCTTGGTTTCTGATGAGGACACCTTCTGCCTTTGTTATCAAATGACTGACTAAGGCTAGTCATGGCTTATGTAAAACATGGAATATAGTTACTGTGTACACAAATCAAAGCAAGCTGTTGGCTCTGTTTGACAGCTACCCTTTGACGTTGTATGCCTGCAAGGTTTGCATTATTCCTGATTTCTATTAGGTGAAACGGTTGAATAGATTTAAATAGGTAGACATGCATGAGCATGTGTCTGATACTTTACTGTGAATAACAAAATGATTTGTGTTAGAAAATTAATCCTAAATCATAAGTATTTCGCAAGTGGTCCTGCATTGTTTGTGCATGAATTATACCTACAATTTTAGGGCTTGTTAAGGAGAGACGTGTTATTTGAAACAAAAAGATGGTGACAAAACCATTATATGGATGCACGAAAGCACTCAGAACCACCCTAGAAATGTGGCAGAGAGTTTATATACAGTTAAATACCAGTCACATTATCTTCAGAATATGTAAAATTGATACCAGTTTACCCAGTGGCACTTGTCTTGTTCTATTTTCAGGCCTGATGTCCATGAGAAATTACAGGATATTGCATCCTTTCGAGCTTTAACACATCAGCGGCACTAATGAATAAATGCGAACGGTGTAATCAGTGCCTGTGGCACTGCCATTAAAGACAAACACTAATAATGACATTACACATTAGTCCAAAGATGTTTGTATAGCAAAGCTCTTTGAGTAAACACAAATTTATATTGTGCATCTATCTATCTATCTATCTATCTATCTATCTATCTATCTATCTATCTATCTCCGTCCGTCCGTCCGTCCGTCCGTCCGACCGACCGACCGTCTGTCCATACTGTTGAAAAACGGTTGAATAGATTTAAATAGGTAGACATGCATGAGCATGTGTCTGATACTTTACTGTGAATAACAAAATGATTTGTGTTAGAAAATTAATCCTAAATCATAAGTATTTCGCAAGTGGTCCTGCATTGTTTGTGCATGAATTATACCTACAATTTTAGGGCTTGTTAAGGAGAGACGTGTTATTTGAAACAAAAAGATGGTGACAAAACCATTATATGGATGCACGAAAGCACTCAGAACCACCCTAGAAATGTGGCAGAGAGTTTATATACAGTTAAATACCAGTCACATTATCTTCAGAATATGTAAAATTGATACCAGTTTACCCAGTGGCACTTGTCTTGTTCTATTTTCAGGCCTGATGTCCATGAGAAATTACAGGATATTGCATCCTTTCGAGCTTTAACACATCAGCGGCACTAATGAATAAATGCGAACGGTGTAATCAGTGCCTGTGGCACTGCCATTAAAGACAAACACTAATAATGACATTACACATTAGTCCAAAGATGTTTGTATAGCAAAGCTCTTTGAGTAAACACAAATTTATATTGTGCATCTATCTATCTATCTATCTATCTATCTATCTATCTATCTATCTATCTATCTCCGTCTGTCTGTCTGTCTGTCTGTCTGTCTGTTACGACAAACGCTGTTAAAGTTACAAGTATATCTTTAACAGTTAATGACATCAGCAAAAATCATGACACAAGTAAGTTCAGTGACACCGATGATGATTCAGTAACCACTCTGGCCAATTAACTTCAGTGAGGGATTCGCTGATTCAAAGCAATAATTAATCTCTTTGAACTATTAATTAAAAAACAGCTCATAAGAGTAATTTGTGAATCAGACTACACTGGTAGTGCTGTGTGTTGTTTTTGTCTGTTTTGTTCTTGCCACAGTTTTAGTGGTACACTGTATAGACTTAAAACTTGCATTCACAGTTCATGTGAAATATGATTGCCTGGTAACTGAAGATTCACAGTGCAGCAATGCCGGAAACACTGATGTGAGGCATTAAATGATTCTGCATTATCATATGGCTCAAAAAGCATGCGTTGTAAACTAATTAGCCTGCAAAGCTGCTGTCTGACCAGCTTGCTCTGCTTTTCCAAGGTCAGAACAGAAGTCATCCAGCCAGACATGTGACTCAGGACTGGTCATCCTTAGTGCTCACAATCCCCTTGCAAAAAACCCTGTAAATCTTGCTTATGGGCATTGGTGTCCCAGTAAGGAGCTCTCTAAGTAGTGTCAACAAATCTCAGCTCTAATGATTCCTTTTGAAAGTCTGAATGTCAGCCGAGGTCAGGCATTAAATAAGTGCTGCTCTTAAAATAGAAAATAGGAAAACGGTACACTTGTACAAGGCACTTCAATTGTGAGATACTACTGGGGGAAAAGTTTCTGAAGGTGAGATGACAAAGGTAAGATGATAAACACTTGGCATCTACTTTTAACACATGGAGGCTTCAGACTGAGCCAAGACCTGCATTAGATATCTATTGATTCTTTCAAAGGTCTATGCACTGATACTAATTTTAATCCTGAACCAGACTTAATCTGCATCGGAGAGTTATTGCTCCTTGAGTTTGAGAGATATGTAGATAGATCACACTTTTTTTATTCAACACTGGATGTTCATCATTAGGAGCAGTTAGGTTTGATCTGTTGCGTTTGGTAGGGGTAATGATGATCCAGTGTCCTTTGACTTCCTCTCCTCCATGGGCTCTGATCAATGACCATCCTATGCTCGCTCTGTGACAGCACTCAGTGCTTTTGATTAATGTACTCCTGCCAGAGAACACAGCGGGACAGCACTGGCCTCTTGTTCTCTTTATTTGTGTATGTGAAACTAAAGTACGCCCTGATTGATGGTCATGTACTTACTTTCATTCTCAGTATGAGACTCCTTAGACTTGAATGAAGAGTTTATTGATGTTTTAAAGTCTATTTACAGGATGCTATATTACTGTAGTTCTGTAGTGCATCCTGCTTATATGTTTGTGTGTGTGTGTGTTCAGGCCATGTTCAGTCTGTGCATGGTGGAGAGTGAGGCAGATGAGGTAACTCTCCAGGGTGTGACTAGCGTGGGACTGAAGCACGCACTGGACTTCGCCTACACAGGCCAGGTAAATTCAGCATAGCCCACACAGCTACA